CACATAACATTTCCTTGGTGCTGTTTCTTTTCCATTGTGCACTTAGATCTCAGTGTTCTATTTGCATTGGGGGTCAGCGGTGGTTTATACTTGGGTATGGAATTAAGTGGAATGGAAAAGTGAGAGAAGCAGCAAACTATTGGATTTTTTTTGTGTGTCCTCTCTATTTGCCTCTCAAACTGTCGGCTTTAAGTGACTAAAGAAAACAAACTCATTGCCATTGAGTCAATTCCAACTCATAACAACCCTATAGGACAGAGTAGAACTCCCTCACAGGGCTTCCAAGCAGCAGCAGGTAGATTCGAACTGCTGACCTTTTTTTGGTTAGGAACCAAGCTCTTAACCACTACGTCCAACGCACAATGCCTTATTAATTAGAGTTCGTCTCTGGGGGTCAGGGAAAGAAAATGATTTTAACATCCTGATACAAACTCTGGCTTGAGTTTAGCAGAAAACCTAATCTGTGTTCGATTCCACTCACTGGAAGCTGTCCTAGATTGCAATCCTTACAATCCTTCCTTTAATTTCTCCTTGCCAAGAGTCGTGAATAGTCAAAAAACAAAATTTACTATTTTGAGATTTTTTTCAGAGAGTAGCACTTTTCAACTTTGAATGAGAAAATAAGACTGTGGTAGAGAAAATAGAAAACTAACACACTTATGATACAGCACTCACTGTGAATTAGGAAATTTTACCCGTTGATGTCCACAGTCAGTGGATTCAAGTCAAACAGACGCATCCAGAATGATGGCAGATACCTGTGCATAAGGAAGATGCACTCTCCGTAACTGAATTTTCTATTGCTCTATATTTTCACATGGACCTATTTTCTAGAATCATTTGAACATAAAAGTTTCTGCTTAAAAAGGGCATGTTAAACATTTTGCTAAATAATTGGACATACATTTTGTGATAGAGCTGCTCAGCATAGCTTTAATTTAGAAAGCACAACATATGGTATTTCATATTGCATTCGTTCAGCGGACTAATTTCAAAAAGTTTGACGCTTTATTGAGTATTCTGCAATGTGGCATTAAATAATGGCTTGATGTTTGTTATTAACTTCCCATTTAAATGGACTTCCCATTTAGCATGGGAGCTGATGGAATTTACTAAGTAAGTTTTAATAAGTTTTGAGGTCCTGTAGAGTTCAATGGTTCTATGATTATATTAAATTGCTATAGAAAGTAAGTGTGACTAGTGGATGAGGTTTTGATACTGAAAAGGTACAGTGTTTGACAGGAAGATGTAGATGTCAAGATGTCCAAGTTACAGCCTCATTTCCCTGGATTCAGGTGAAGAGCTTTTCTTCAGAGAGCATGCTTGACAGTACACTATTGTAGAGGAGACTTGTTCTTCAGCCCATCTTGGTTGGGACATGAACTTTGAAGATCTTGTGATAGTTCACCCCACAGTCTCTTACTAACAGTGCTTTCTATGCATGGCACATTGGATTGGTGTCTTGTGTGCAGAAGACTGATATTCCCGACATACTGGAGGCCAGAGGTCACTTGAAGTGTTCTCACCCACTTAGGAAAGCTTGCTGCCCTCCATGATATATAAATACTGGGGAATATCCATAGAAATGAGTGCTTTCATTAATCCACAGGATTGTTACTGATTGATCCTATTTATCAAGGCAATTTCTAACCACCTCAAAGGTATAAATGAACTAATGCTGTATTTTTGAAGTAAATCTAGTTTGTGTTTTTCTCAGCACAAGTTAGGTAATGAGGACATGAGAATCACTGGTTTTTGTTTCGATGCAAAACCCAAACTTTGAACATCTGCATTTCCAATACAAAATTTAAAAAATGATCAGAGCGAACATGATGTCAGTAATGGATATCCATTAATGATGTAAGCTGTTTGATAAAGAGAATGCATTAAAACATGCAGAACAACTTCCTATATAACAAAATACAACCCGCAAAAAGGAGTAGAGGTGTTCACATAATTTGAAGCGAGAAAAGTGTTCAGATCTAGAAGAAGGTGAAACAATTACTGTAGTATTGCCATGGAAAGTATGCCCAAAAGTTATGGACTTAAGAAAGATTCCATCACTTTTTTTAAATTTCTTTTGTTGCATACTATCATGGCTTACTCTGATATCTCAGTCTATATATCTATTTTCAAGATGTTTGTAAGATATTGGTTGAGTAGCTTATTACTGAATGTTATTAACCGTAATAGTCAAATTTGGAACTTATTGGAAATTGCAACGGAAAGGTAACTAGACTTCCTTACTTGGCTCAGAAGGGCAATTCCAAAGGTTATCCCTATGTTCCAAAACGATGAACCATCTAAAGGAGAATATTGTTGCTTGTCCCTGTCACAAGTGCTGACACATTTCACACAGCAAAAAACAATTCTTAACTAGACCCCTTCCTCTTCTTCCTCAGAGGCATTTGCCTTGCACAATTGTAGGTTACAATCTATATTGACTACCATGAGACACTGGATTAATGACTAACAAACAGTAAAAATTATAACTGCAAGTTCTTTTTTAAAATTCTGTCTTGTGAGAGAATCAGTCTTTTTTATATAATACAAATCAATTTGAGCCTTACTGTTTCAGCAAGATGCTATTATTCATATTAAGAATAGGTGAAATATTCATCTCTAATACAGGGTCGCTATAGGGTCACCATGAGTTGGAATCAACTCAACGGCAGCGGGTTTGGGTTTTGTTTGGTTTAATTCAAGATACATCTGATTCAGCTCTGCTGAGTTTTCTCTACTTTTGGAAGACAGCTAATACTTGCTATGTACACATTCTCGACATACCTCATAGAGCTGACTCTGTTGTCGGCAAGAGGATCCAATATATTGAATTATACTGAATATATGTCCACATTCTCTGGTACCATGCTCTCCATACTTATTACCTTCCAGCCACACTAGCTTCCCTTTTTTGCTCATACACCCCATGTTCTTGCCCTTGCTCTTGTGCTCCATGTCTGAAACTTACCTTCCTTAGTTTTACAGAGAGGTGCTCTCCTAGTCCTTCTAGTTACAATTCAAATGTCATTTTAAACACATTTTTAAGATGCCCCTGACCTTGTTAAAAGTAGATATTCCCCCCTGCATATAAGGCTATTTTTATTCCCATTATAGTACTTTATACACTCTGACATGATCCCATTTCTTTATCCGTATTTATTGTTTATTTTCTTTTCCTCACCCAGATTGAGTGTACAAGCTCTTTGAGGGAAGGAATAGTTTCTGTCTTGTTGATCGCTGTATCTCAGACACCCTGAACTGAAGTTAGCACATAATAACCAGTTGCCATCAAGTAGACTGTGTCTCATGGCGACCCCGTGTGTGTCAGAGTAGAACTGTGCTCTATTCCATGGGGTTTTCGATGGCCGAGTTTTTCAGAAGTAGATTGCCAGGCCATTTTTCCGAGGTGCTTCTGGGTGACCGCAAACCTCCACGTTTCAGTTAGCAGCCACGCATGTTAACTGTCTGTACCACACAGGGACTCCTGGCACATAATAGGCAGTCCATATTATTTACTAGGCAATTCCACTTAAATAACTTCAAATGATGCTGTTTGGGAACATGTAAGCACTCAGACATCTCAGCATTTGCAGTGGTGAATACACTAGGCTGCTAACTGAACGGTTGGAGGTTTAAGTCCATTCAGAGGCACTTCGTAAGAAAAGCCTGGAAATCTGTTTCCAAAAAATCAGCCATCGAAAACCTTATGGAGCACAATTCTACTCTGACACACACGGGGTCACCATGAGTCAGAATTGGTCTGACATCATCTGGTAGAGTTTGCAATGTTCAGCAGTAGGACATGAACCCAGAGATGTAGGAGAAAGGAAGACAAGGAAGGGAACCAGATCTTGTGTTAAGAGGTTTTTGTGTTACAATTCTTAGTCATCTAGTGCTGCTGTAAGAGAAATAGCACAAGTGGATGGCTTTAACATAGAGAAATTTATTTTCTCACAGTCTGGTAAGTTAGAAATCCAAATTCAGGACATCAGCTCCAGGGAAGGCTTTCTCTGTCAGCTCTGGAGGAAGGTCCTTGACCTCGGTCTTCCCTTGGTCTGGGAGCATCTCAGCGCAGGAACCTCCAGTCCAAAGGACGCGCTCTGCTCCTGGCTCTGCTTTCTTGGTATGAGGTCCCCAATTCTCTGCCTGCTACCCTTTCCTTTTATCTCTTGTAAGAAAAAAGGTGGTGTAGGTCACACCTTAGGGAAACTCCCTTACATTGTGTCAGAGATGTGACCTCAGTAAGGCTGTTATACAGTCACACTCTAATCCTTTTTAACATAAAATTACAATCACAAAATGGAGGACAACCACCTAATCCTGGGAATCATAGCCCAGACAAACTGATACACACATTTTTGGGGGGACATAGTTCAATCCATGACAGAAGCCAGGAAAGATCTGAGCAGGAATGAGATATCATTCAGTTTGCAATTAGAGCATTCTGATGGAAGCACGTACTGGAAGAGAGAGAGAGGGCTGAGGGAGGTGATTCCTAACCTTGCCTTCTCAAAATAAATTCCACCAAAGAGTTTTTGCATTTCTCAAGTACATAGGCTCAGAGATCTAGAAGGCAGCTTGAGGAATAAGCCAGCAGGGTCTTCCCCTGCTGTCAGGTAAGAACATATGGTTGTATATCACCTGTCCTAGTCACTTATTTTGTAGGCAGTTGAGGTTGGTAATTTCTGTGTTAAGATAAAATAAACAAAGACCCAGCGATGACCCAGATACATAGTTGTGACTTAATTTAATTTATTACAATGTGAACTGAATAATTTTTTCCACACCTGAGTGACATTGAATAGCACATAAACCAATGATTTTATGTCAAAGAGAGATGAAAAGAATAAAGATTATGAAATGAGCAGCTTGCATTTGATCAGGCGGAGTAAAACTAAGAAAAAACTCTCACTACTAACAAAGAAGCAAAAAGTCCCCAGACTAGGAATTTTGGTCCGGGTTCCTCAGCATCATTATTCTCTGGAACGAGCAGGCTGCTAGTACCCCAGTGCAGAGCAAGATGGACGGCAAGTACTGAAAACATGGGCCAGAGGTTGGCAACCACTGCAGAGAGGCCGCAGGGGTCTGAGGCTGCTGGGCAGAACACTAAGTGGTTGAGAGCCACCGGTCAAACCACCCAAGGGTCGGCATCCATAAGTGAGGAGGCTCAGGGGTCGGTGGCCGTTGGACAGACAGTCCAGCGGTCGATAGCCAACAGGTGCACAGCCTAAGGGGTGGCTGCTGTAGAGCAGGGGTCTCAATGGACGGTAGCTACTGGACACACAGCCCAGAGGTCTACACGATACTGGGAGGTAAGCACCGGAGATGGAGGAAGATACGGGAAGAAAGCTGGTTCCTTGGCAGGGTCTGGTCACATAGTAAGCAGTGGAAGGGCAGCAAGAGTTGCAGGGCTCACAGTTGGCTGGCTGGCAGCTGGTTGGTTCATTGCAGGTCTCTTGGCAGTTGTCCAGGAGCCAGGAACTGCCTTGGCAGGTACTAGGTAGGCAGATGGCATCTCCACAGCTCACGTTGGTAGAGCAGCGGGCACTGGAGGAGGGGACAGGAATATGGCAGATATTCCTGAGGGATCCCGAGCTGTAGTTTCCAGGGCAGTGGTTGTGGCAAGACATAGTGAGGTTTCTAGAGCAGGCTGTGGTTGGGTAGAAAGAAGTAAGTGTCTCAAGTTCGACTGTGCCCTTTGCTTGGCTTGGCCCTTATATATCCCTAGAAGGGGGTGGTTCTGTATACAGACTCTTTTCCTTGTTGTTGTAAGAGGCTGCATCAGAACGCATCATTATAGCCCAGGAATTGGTACTCCTACCTCCCATAAAACCAAGGTTTCTTGCAAAGCTTCCCATCGATAAAGAATAGCTATGAACTAGTGTAGCTAAAATTTTAATAGGATCTTTCCTTCTTAAATCATCCAACAAAAACAGACATTTTAGAGGCCGTACACTTATTCCAATTATAACCACCATTGCACAAACATTCATAGAATTCCTTTCTTAGAATTGTCTTTAAAACTTACACTTCTTGGAAACAGTGGCAAATTTTTTTTCCTTCAGGGAGAATTCTATTCATTTTGGAAACTGCCAAAAGTAAATAAGTTGGAAGCAAATGTATTGAAACAGATAGTGAGCAATCCTATAACCTATAAGGTTTGGAGCAGAAAGAGTTTAAAAACACTATAATATGGAGCCCTGGTGGTGCTGTGGTTAAGAGCTTGACTGCTAACCAAAGGCAGTTCGAATCCACCAGCTGCTCCTTGGAAAGCCAGTTCTATGCTGTCCTACGGGGTCACTATGAGTAGGAATCAACTCAATGGCAACAGTGTTTTGTTTTTTTTTAATAATATAGAAAAATTCAATGTGCTCAATTTTGTGTTTTATTTTATCTCAGAATCCTAGTAGAAAGGGACTTCCCATCAAAACATCTTTATTCACAAAATTTGTGTTCATTTTATTCATTTAAATAAATAAACATGCTGAGTCAAGATGTAAACTTGGTCTTTGTTTGAGATTTTTTTTTTATTTAATAAAAAATAATAGTTGGGCTCATTTAAAATTACCAATCCTGCATTGAACGAAATCAAACAAGCAGAACCCCTTAAAGAAAGTTGGGCAACATGATTTTTTTGGGGACTTTTTAGGCTTATTTATTTCATGGTGTACTTATGTTCCAACTGAAAACTATTGTTTGTAGTCAAAAATAAGGTATAATGATGAAGACATGGATTTGGTTTTGCTTCCTACATTGGTTCTGACATTAATTTAAAAAGAGGTGTTCTCAGAAAGGGCCAGAAAGACCAGAGACTTCATCAGCCTGAGACCAGAAGAACTGG